GCCGGCACCTCTTCGCACCCCTCCGCGATTACACTCGCCTTCAAGACGGAACATCAAGATGCGCATCTTCGATTTTTACATTAACGGACTGATGATCTGTTTCAGACAGAGTCGGAAATCTACGACTTTAGACGAGAAAGCAGGATTTGTACGATAAATTTGTGAAACCGGGATTGTTTCCACGCCTCGGGCAAAAAAACGTCACAGTGCTGCAGAATCAGAAGAGCCCAGAAGCCTCAGTGCTGATCATTTCGTTGAACTGCACGGTCCTCTCCGCCACCGACTCGTCCTACTCTTCGCAACATGACTCATCGTGACCGCTGTGCCTCTGGATGTCACTGGTTCCCCTGCCCTCTATGATAGAACAGCAAACCTCACCCTGGTTGCCATGCGAGGACTGTGTTTGGGCCACCTCACTGGACGTGCAGTGATGTGAAATCCCGCCGTAGGAAAAGGCGATGTCCAATCAGCAATTTATCCCTCCTCCCGCAGGAATTAAGCTAACTCCCGTTGTGTTCCGCGCATCGATGTGCGATCCAGTCTTAGCCTAAGGCTTGAGCAAGCCCAAAAGTACGTAAACCCGTTTGCAGCCGTTCATTGTGCTCTGGTCTTCCTCGCAACCCACAGCGGGGCCACAATCAACATGCCAACTGCATGGCAGCTGGAGCTTCGGTGCGGCAGTACCATGGTTGACCCGGTGGTGGTACCAGTATGCGTTGTGCAAAATTTCAACGTCATTTAAGCTTCATGTACCATGCGCATGTAAACTGTGCACGCGCTGTGTGCCGAGATCCAGTTTTGAATTGTTCGTGCGGAGTTGCGCGAGCTTTTGCCAGTCGCGTCTGGCGTAACCTGCTAATCGTACAAGTATAGGCCAGTATAGGCCTTGCAGCGATATCGAGTCACTGCACAACAGCTTCGTGTTTCTCTTTGTACTCGCTGGTCAGTAAGCTGGACATCTCTACGTGAAGCTGCAAAAAACCGCATATCTAATAAAGAGAACATCACGCAACGTCGGGTGCGACGTAACAAAATGCGATTGCTAGAACTTGCCATTGAACGTGGGTCATGAGAGTGTCACCCCGAATAGCATGAGACCGCGATGCGACTTTGCAACATCGACGCAGCTTGAGCAATGAAGCGAAGACGGACCAGAAAAGAAGCTTGCCCATATGTTGTCTTGCAGATGCTGGGGTCCCCGGAGCACAACCAGCTTCTTTGTTAGGTCCCGGGCTGCATCATCAAACAAGATAAGTCTGTTGACTGCGTTGCCAAAGCTTTCCGGAGGCTTGACATCTCTGAAGAAGTCCTTGAAGAAAGGAGTTGCCTGGCGTTCTCGGCTGGAGCGGCACTGGCCGGAGATGGGAATGGCCTGCAACGACGACTCAGTTCGCCAGCCCATCCTCTTCAATGAACCTGGCCTTTGCGTCGGCGAAAGGCAATACACGAACGGTCTTACCTGCATTGACGACGGCATCCTGGAGCAGTGCCCGATTCTTATGTTTTGGATTGGGCGCTTCTTTGGACAAGAGAACTCAAGCCTCTTCCACGAGCTGCGCGCTCATGTACGGAGTAGGCATCCTCGGACGAAAGAACAGATCCCAACAACCAGCATGGTCGGATTTAAGCACGGCCGTGTCCTGTCTCGGCTGGGTCGGAAAAATGTGACTGAGCCGTCTGTTTCGAACTCCTGCTGCGGCCAGAACACCACTCTCACATTGAGACAGCTCGGGCCACCCGTGCTGCTGCTGCTGCTGCCGCTGCTGCTGCATACTTTAATTACAAGAACAACAACGACGCCGACTACTCCCACTGCCACTGCTACTGCCGCTGCCACAAGCACTGGCACTGCCTACTGCTCTGGCTCCTGCTCCTCCTGCTCCTGCTGCTGCTACTACTACTACTACTTCTTCTTCTTCTTCTGCTGCTGCTGCTGCTGTACTACTACTTCTTCTTGTGACGCCGCAGTGCTCATTAAACCGTGCCAAGTGGGTGACAACAGCTACAACTACTACTACTAAACTACCACCACTTCCACTACCACTACCAATACCACTACTACGACGACTACTACTACTACTCCTCCTCCTGCTGCTGCTGCTACTACTACTACTACTCCTCCTCCTCCTGCTGCTGCTGCTTCTGCTTCTGCTGCTACTAGACCTACTTATTCCACTACTACTACCAGTTACTACCACTACCGCTACCACTACTACCGCCACCACCACCACTACCACACTACTACCACTACCACCACCACCACCACCACCACCACGACTACTACTACTACTGCTGCTGCTACTACTACTACTACTACTACTACGACTACGACTACGACTACGACTGACGACGACTACTACTATCATCACCACCACCATACCACAACCCCACTGACGACCACTACTACTACTCCTACTCCTACTCCTACTCCTACTCCTACTGCTGCTGCTGCCGCTGCTGCTGCTACTGCTGCTCCTCCTCCTCCTCCTCCTCCTACTCCTACTCCGACTCCGACTCCGACTCCTACTCCTAGTCCTAATCCTACTCCTACTGCTACTGCTACCGCGACGGCGACTGCTGCGCTACTGCTGCTGCTAGTGCAAGTGCTAGTGTTTTAAAGTTATAGTGCTAGTGCTAGTGCTACTAGTACTGCTACTACTGCTGCTGCTGCTACTACTACTACTGCTGCTACTATACTGCCACCGCCACGACCAGCACCACCAGCACCAGCACCAGCACTGCCACCACTGCCACCACCAACACCACCACCACCAGAGCCACCACTGCCACCTCCTGCTGCTGCTGCTACTGCGAAATGTGAACAGGCCGTGCCAGCCCTGGCCTCAACCACGGACAAGACCGGTGCGAGCACTACCCTGCGGTCCTTATGCAGCATAAGGACCATAAGGAACTCTTCGAGAGAACGTGGCACACCACAGAGTCCACTGTTTTTCCTTGCCTGATGGGCATCCTCCTCCGCAGGTTGTGCAAACGGTGTGGCAACTCTGTCGCGAGTCGACCTCACGTCATCCTGGCAAAGATGTTCAGCGTCGCTTGTGAGTCGAGCACAAGACTGAATGGTTCTTCTGATTGGCTCAGAAAGAGGGGAAGTGTCCGCTCGATGCGGTTCAACTGCACTCTGCGCTTGCTTTGTAAATTTCAACATCCAACGTGAGCCGACGTGAGCTAGGCATGGCACTGCATATGTACGAAGAGAGGGGCGAATGACCGTGCCAACTGCATGCACGCATTTTCGTGATGCCGTGGTGGACATGGACACACAGGGGCTGCGTTCATCCATGTACCACTTTGAAACAGAGCCACTTATCTGCACTAAAACGAGCGCAGCTGCGACGAAGCCGGGCTCGTTCTGGTCAGGACATGCAACTGAAAATATGGAAGCGTTTTCATTGCATGTCGTGAGAATTAATGTAGACCCCTGATCACTCTCCCGCCTCTGTTTAAGGGGCCCTTGTATTGGGATCCTGCAATAATCCGTAAAATGGGGAGAGGGTGTTTTCATCGGCGGCCCCGCGAAGCTGATTTATCTTCACCTAGCAGTCCATATAGTCGAACCGTCGAGGGTGAAGCGCGGCCGAGGAGATCGCAGTGACTCTGCTCGAGTTTGGCTTTGCCATGCCCGGCCTCCCTTTGTCCATGCAGCGTCTGCTGCGTTTGGTGCTTCATGGTATATGTCGTGTGAGGAGTTGCAACTACAGTGTACAGTTTGTGCGTACATGTGAGTACTCTACAAAGGCGAGGCTCCACATAAGCCGCTTCCCAGAGCATGTAAACAAGCCGGCACCACTTGTGACATGGGCTGCACCTGCAAGCAGGGACAAAGATGCAGTGCTGAGTGAGCATGCAAGTCACGCCGCTACGCGTCGTAAACGTATACAACACCGGGTCGCTCCTGCTTGCGTCATTTTAGATCTTGTCGATAGCAGAAACCGGCGGACGGCCTCAGTATTGACCACGTTGCTGAATTGGACCGTCCGCACGTCGTCAGGTACATCCTCCTCGCGTGCAAAAGGATATGTCGAGGAGATTCCAGGCCGCAAAGCTTTGAACACGGTGATGACCAGCTGCTTGGCGTCCATGATCGTTCATGTGTCATGTGTGGTGCCGGACACACTCACGGAGCGCTTCGGTTCATGACAGAAGCCTACTCTTTCGGTCTGGCCCTGCGTGCGCACATGGTTGCAACTCCAGTCCCCTGACTCGAGGCACAAAGGGCTGTGGCAGGTTCTCCTTGACGAGGGGTGTCGCCTGTCGATCTCGACTCGAGCGTCTCTGCCCGGAAGCAGGGATGGCCTGGATCTCGGCTGGATCGGTGTCTCATCGAAAAGGTCACCGGACATGCGCGTCCCAGCCTGGATCTCAGCTGCCCCAAGTATCCGAACAGTCTTAGCCGCAGCATCTGCAGGCATGTCCTCAAAAGCAGGCCAGCAACAACAAGCGCTCCCAGCCCGACTGCATGTGTAATCCTCCACCATCTCGGTGCTCACATAGGGAGTTGGCATCCTGTCGCAAGAGAAAAATTGCAAGGACCGCGCTGCCGACTAGACTCGCAACGAGCTGGTCTGCAGCCCGCTACTGTACACGGACAGAGAGAGAGAGAGAGAGAGAGAGAGAGAGAGAGAGAGAGAGAGCGAGTACAATTGTACTGTAGAGTCTGCACGACATGGAGGCTTATGGACAAAGGTTGGAAAGGCCTTGGCCACGTCTAGGACACACTGGAAGAGAAAAACACCACTCGGAGCATCATTACCAAGTTTATGTTGTTGACTGGCATGACATCTCAAAACAAGATCTCAGGAGATTTGGCGCGACTGAATTTGACTCACTTGACTGCATTCCACGCTTT